GCAGCAAGGCCCCCAAACAGCGAAAGAGTGTGATTGAAAAGAAAACTTTGGGAACGAGGGGCTGAATTTTGTGTTGTAAGAAAGGACGAAACTAAATGAAAAGTTGTTTGTGCGGGATGATGCCAGGTGGACCTGTCTTTTTCTCTTAGCTAGGATCGGATAAAAGAAAACCTCCAAACGTGAAAGACCTGGATTCTTGGTGGATCTACATGATCATGAAAAGATGCATGAAAATATCATTTCTAGATTGGGAGAGAGAAATTAACATTAGTAAATATGAAAAGGACGTTACTTTCCGTGGACCAAAAGAATAAAAAACTTTGGGCTTTAATTTTATGAAGCTCACCCCTTTTAGGTGGTTTTATAATTTATTCACCACTAGTTAAATTTCAAGCAGTTGATAGATTAATATATTTGTAGAAATGGAAATTATGCAAGAAAAATAACTATGAATGGTTAGTCCACATTGATTGCCGAGTCCATAAAGAATTGTTGGTCATTAATTTAAGTTATATGCAATAAAAAGTTTTTTATATATATTTTTAGCAGAATATTTCTTATAAAAAAAATCTTGATAATATTAAATTATAAATATGTGAAAATAAAACTTTACCGTGATAATCAATTATAAAGTCACTATTTTTTATTATAATAATTGACGGTAAACATATTATTCTTAAAAGACATAAACAATAACCTAATATATTTGTAAAAATGTTCAAGAATCTTTTGTTTGGAAATTTCTTCTACAATACTGGTTTAGTTGGGAGCAAAAGGTTTATTTTGATAACCCATGTTATTGGTAATGTGATGTGATGGTTAATTTATGTCGAAAAAATTAATTGATTACTTTTTAATTATATTTTTTCCATCATAAAATTTCAACCTAAACTTTACTTAAGAGACGGAGAATCCAGTTTCGCTCATGTCAGTGATTATTTTTTCAAAAGTGAAATTCATAAGAAAATAAATAAAAGAAGAACAAATCATATAATTCCAAAATAAATATCAAAAGCTTTTGGATATTGTCTAAAATATGGTATATAGGTTTAGTTAAGGTTTTAAATGTTGATTCGCATAATCTGCAATATTGCTGAAACACCGACAACCTTTTATTTAAAATCTGACGTGGACCATTTTCAATATGTTCGTAAAGAAATTGACAAATAGTCATCGATTGTCAAAATCTTACTTCCAAATTGTGAAATTAATGTGTCTTGATTCTCAGAACACGTACAGTCTTCTGGGTATAGCAAGTTACTTGGTATCTCTTCCTAGCTCTAGCCTCCTTTCATGGCAAAAAATATCTATATTATATACTCAAAATGAAAACAAGCCAAGCCATAGAGTCCCAAAAAGAAGTGCATGTATATATATACACACGTGAGATTCTTATATTGAGCAGTAGTGATGGTTATGATTGAAAGTTGTCTCTATGTTTGTTTTGGTCCTCTCTTTAGTTTTTATCACATTGCAAAATTTTGAGCTTAATTTGTCTGTTTCTTGTGGTGGACTAAATATATTTGGGGTATATTCTCCTAGTGATTAATCAAATCTGAAAGCGAAAACATGGTGTGGTCCAATTGCTTGTACGTGGAAGGATCAAAATCACTCAGATTTGTGAGTACAACAAACACTATATCCACAATCCAAAGGAAGGATAAAGGATTTGTATTTGTAGCAATTAGCATGGTCTATAATCTAGTAATAACGATGGCGATGCATGGTTTTGTGTGTATAAAACACATGCGTGTAGCTTTCTGCTAAAGAATGCACCGTCACACTCAGCTGCGAGCTTATCCATTTTGTTAGCTAAAGCCAGTGGCATCATGAATTTATGCCAGACAAACTTAAAAAACATCCAACCCTTTTCCTTTTGGAGCAAAACTTTTGTTTGGTATTTCCAAATAATGATGATTGCTAACGAATTTATGATCCTCGTATTTTTTTTTACGTGTTTTAGGTTATATTCAGATGATTTTCCTTGTAATTACCCATACAAGAAAAAATTAAGAAGGTAAAATGAATTGAAGATTTCTTATTAGTTGTACTTTAATTGTTATAGAATTTTTTTTGGTATAACTTAAATTAATTTTTAACTTATTTTTTAATTTTCATTTATTTTTCCTATAATTCTTACAGATAAGTCGGTCCAAATAAAATCTTAAAATTATTTGAAAGTGATTCTTGCATGAGAATAATATTAATTGACAACTAGTTAAAAGTTCAATGTATTAAATTAACAATAGAAGACAATAAATTTATAGCAAAGTAATTTTAATGCATGTTATCTTAAATTTACAATTAGTTGTATGCATGTACAAAAGAACTCATATTCATATAATATATTAAGGGACTCAGGGACGGAGCCAGGATTTCAATACTGGGGGGCCGATAGTCACTACTCAATCCTATTCCTATTGCCAGTGTTACTTGAGAATTGAGAATTGAGAATTGGAATGATCAAATGAGGCGCTACATTTTTTTAAAAAAAAAAAAATTCCAAAGTGATACCACATAACAGGCCGTACCAGAAGTCCAAAAGTTGAATAAAAAAATAAATTTGGGTTATTCATTTAATTATACATATGAGTTTATATTAAAAATAGGGGGTGCCATATAGTAATATATATGTATATAAAAAAAAATTAAAATTGTTGGGGGGGCCGTGGCACCCGTAGGTCCCCCCTTGGCTCCGTCCTTGAAGGGACTTATTTCATATCGTATACACAAGGAGAAAGCAAATTGATGAATTATGCAACACGTTCACGGTGTCTATTTTTATACATACAAGTCTATACTTTTTACTCATCTCTTTAAAATATCGTTAACACAAATTAATAATTAAACACATAAATACAAGTAATTTCAAGTAAAATTGGATTTGAAAGAAGTATCTTGAAATATCTTTCAAATTTCACACTCTATCTTCAAATAACTATATATCATCAATGCAATGATCCTCCTTAAGGTATGTGTTTTCTTGGGAACTTTTACATTCTCCTATTTGATCACATATATAGTTTACACTTGAATTTGCTCATAACCCACACCTATTTGTTGCTCGTCGAATAACCCCGAAGCTATACTATTACCAAACAAATGAAGTACTCACCCAATGGAAACGTGCAAGTCTCTTGTACCCATTATGTGGAAACTGATCATGTTACATATGGGTTTCACTTTCCTATGTGTGGATATATAAATTCATGAGAGACATGATGTTCTACATACCCAATTAACGACTGATCATTGGTTTACTTCTCCATTTGTGTCCCCTTTGAGTGGGTGCACTGTGCTTTTGTCCATGGGTGGGTGAATGTGGTGGTGGGGTCTAAAGTTCTAAACCAAGTATAAGGTTGATGGAATGCTTATGTGACAAACCTTGTTCCTTTTGTTGGGTGACGCCATGGCATGTTAGACCCACCAAGAATGGGGATAGGATCTTAATTCATTGCAAACTTCAATCTCTCTTCTTTCCAAAACAAATCCATCAAAGAGTCACCCATTCCTTCTGTTGATTCATTCATACTAATCAACCAATCTTTGTATTGTTCAATTATAATACATTGT